GCAAAGCAAGTCCTCCCACCTCGCCATCCACCAGTCTTAACAGACAGTGTTACTGCCTTGTCTAGCAAACACCATCAACGATATCAGGCCTCGTGCATACGCATTCCACAATCTGAATGCATTCCTGACTGCATATCAGCCTGGCTGTCATGGGTCCTCTTCCCTTTCCAAATGGACTGCGACGCAGCACCAATTTGGCCAGTGCTGCGAACTCTTCCTTGCATCGCAACAGAAGTGAAGCACTTCCACCTTCACGGCCACGTACACAACGCTGCTTGTCAAGTCTTCATAAGATAAAGCAACACCTCACGCTGATAGTACGAATTGCGAACGATTTGAGAGGCCGAAACAAGTCTCACAAGCACCGTAAAATGGGGATCCTCACGCGTGCAGAACTTGTCTGCACATCAAGCGAGAACAGAGACTAATGGCAACTCCATTCGGAAATGGTACAAATGAGCCCGATCGCGAAGCAACTCCTCTTCCGTAACAACCTCACTTACAGAAAACCGCTCGCAGTTACTCCAGTCCACATCTCATTCACTGTCTTCGACAAACCCACAATGTCAGCATCACTAAGAGTGGGGCAAAGAAGTTCGGACTATGACCAACTACTTTCCGCAAAATTTATTTCGTTCACCGCTCCTCCTTAGGTCACAGCCGCACACACGAAAACACCTACACACTTTAAATTCTAGTATTAGTATTAGTCGTCGTCGTCGCAGACGAAAGAAGTGCGCACCACATCCTGCACCCACCGAATACTAAATGATTGACACAATAGAAGCAGGAAGGAATGCAGACCAATCAACGTCACATACGGAATACCACTAATTTCACACATAACGAATCTAGAACATGAGATCGACTATTCACAACCAAAGCAAAACCAATTGAACAGAAGGTGAGTCCACCTTCACACGCCAAACCGGTTAAATGAGACAGTGCCAGCTCCACCTCTTTTCCACTTCCCACCAAATATGGTTCTCAAAAACAGACACCGCTTTAATAGCTTGCGCCATAATGCTAACTAGCGAAAGGAGACAATTACGAAGAAAGGAATGGAGGGCAACACACTTCATCACAAAATATCAGAGTCGTGCCATAGCTAAATGGTAATGGTAGATCACGCCACTCATCAACGTCTTGCAGAACACAACATCCCCAAAATCATCACGAGACAACACCTTTCCGCCACACTGCGTCCAACTACCCACACGCTCTGGTCATAGCTAGATGAGACAACGCCGCATAGCTCAAAGCACACGCATGCACTCTAACCAGGTGGTGGGAAAATTGCGCAAAAGCACACTCACCCATCGTCATTGACGCCACCACAATCTAGTTGTCTGCCTCCCGATTCACAAACAGTAATTGCTGTTGCCGCTGCAGCAGCAAAGTGCCAGATTTCCATCCACCGATGTTCCGACAAAACCACCTCACACATCCACTGAAGGAACTGCCATACACTCGCGCACCTCGATACCAAATTTATGTGCAACGCATAATAGGTCACAGCCAAGTATGGGAAAGGGACATCCGATCTACACTCGGCCTACTCTTGGCAAGCAATCCACCGTGACATCCACTTAGCATCAACAGTGACCACTTCTCATTCGTACATGCTGAAGAACCTATTCACCATACGACAATTGCCAGCATCCCAAGTCCACGCATCTAGTCTACCCAATACTCCTAGCTGTTATTAATGTTGGTCAAGCGTGCAACGTATGACAACTGCCTCCGTTTCCTCTAGCACCCAAACCCTACTGACACTGAACGACACCGCTCCACCAAATGCACAGACACCACCGCACAAGTGACAGACAATGTCCCACATTACAGCCAATGACGCGGCAGATGACAAGTCGCACCAATGAGTGCGAAGAACAGGCATGGCTGGTGTAAAATCTGCTCAAGCATTGCATTAACCTACGTAGAAGGAAATAGCGACGGTGTTGACTTTGCAAAACATGTGGCAATTTGTAAAGGACGTTTGCGTGTCAATCGAGCTCCGCTTCTGACGGTGTAACATGCAATGCTTTGGTTATGTGTCCAACTGACGTATGGGGTTTACTGTAAGGATTGTCTGGTCCCTGTAAGCGCAGTCTGACCTTCAGGCCATGCTCGAGCCTAATCAGTGTGCTTTCCTTGCAACACATGTATTCACCTCTACTTACTGTTTCTTCTACTCTCAAGCTGCTACATGACACACAAGGAGTTAGTTATTAACACCCTCTGGATCAGAGAGGACATACTATTGCACGTTGCACTGGAGGTGTGGGGATAAACTCCACACTAAGCTTGGTAGTCATGTCTGTAGTGACTTTGATGGAAGACCAGTTGATTGAGTTGATGCATGGCAGACGCTGAAGGCATTCGACTAACATCTCGTCAATCTCATCACTTTGTGGCAATATTAAAATGAATCGTGGGCAAGGTCTGGTCCCCTTGATCAAGGGCGATTTTAGGCCTCATCTGGCAACGATGGTCGGCATTTGGGGCGGGTGAAATGGCGGCACCATCGCAGAGTGGGGCCGATGGGAATGTCCTGCTTATTTTGACAAGAGGCTGGTTTGCAAATTCGCTCTCTGCTGCCTCCTCACTTGCTTACTAGGGTGTTATTTGGCATCAAACGGATAAGAGTAGCAATGCAAAACAAAATGCGGCGGACGACACTAATGGCCATTCATCCTCACCTCCAAAACAGCCTTCCATCTCATGCCTCCCCTCCTCCTCCTTCGTTTCCCTTCGCCTAGTTAGGCACGAGAAGTGGATCCGCATGATATGGAAGAAAGATATGCACTGCGGATGATGCTCGAGAGGCTATGGAACCCACATTTTTTCTCTTGTTCCCCTTCTCAACGGTACCTTGGGGCTAAGCTGAGCAGATTCAGTGCTGGCAGCGCGTTCGGCGGGGCTGCACTCCTAAATGTGAATCATCGTCGAGTTGCGCTGGCATTCCATTTCATTCCATTCTCTATCGTCCTCTTCCATTCCTCGAAACATCAAACTCCCATGTCCCGCCTTA